GGACGAGAATACAAAGACTGGTGTCTTGGCTACCTTTTTGGTTCTCTTCACGTTGGCATATAGTCCTGGAGCTGGAGTTGTACCGTTTCTTTATAGGTATCCTCTCTTCTTATATTCTGCTTTCATCAGATACTAATCCGCTCAGTTCCGAAATCTGGCCTCTCCTTAGCCGTGAAGTTGGCATGTCTTGGGCTTGCTTCTGGAACTTCCTACTCGCAGGCGTACTTGCTCTCACCGTTCCCCAGCTTACCCAAGCAATAGGCCACACAGGCCTACTTGGCCTCTTCGCGGGACTAGACGCCGTTGCGTTCTTGTTGGTGTGGTTGTTCGTCCCGGGTACCGCTGAGGTGACGACTTTGGAGGATATGAATTATGTTTTTGGGGTGCCGACAAGGAGGCATTGCGAGTATCAACTGCGAGAAGTGCTGCCTTGGAGGGTGGGGAGGCTATTTAGAAGAAAGATCAAGAAGCCGGCGCCCCTTTATCGGTGGCAACGGCAAAGGCAGAGGAGGGAGATGGTGAGTAATAGTGCGAATAAGAGCGAGCAGGCTATTCATCAGGAACGTAGTTGAATATGTGAATGCTAAGAAACTTGCATATCCAGAGATATTCAACGTTAAAGCCTACATCGTATTTTGGATGAATTATTGAGACTGAAATGAATAATGAGGGCAAGTTTGACTCTTCTTACATTGTGTTTTTAAGAGGAACAGAATCATTTCCGTTCCACTCATTTAGACACACTCGTATACAGCTCCCGCACTGGGCATTGGGTATTCTCTTACAGCCGGAAAACCTTCATTTCTGGGGATGAAATCCCTCGCAACCCCGAATGAAGTTCCAGCACGTGATCCATTCGCACCCTTGGAAGGCTTCTTTGCTCTGCAGCGGTTACGAAAGACTTCGAGATTCTCTCCGTCATTCTCATTGCAGTGGAAAGTTGTAGTGGATTCAGAGATTGGCCCATTTGAAGACATAGAGCCATGCTGTGGTACTTCTCCAAGGTACACGATGACTTCCTCAGTAGATGAGAAGATGTCGTGCATCAAATTGACCTGTTTTGTCCTCTCTGGGTTATTCGATTGATTGATGCAGAGTGCATCTACCCAAAGTGTGAGATCGCCATCAATCCGCCGGAGTCTTCGAAGCGCAGACTCGAGATTTACCGTCACTGCGTGTTGATATCCGTTGACAACAATAGGTCGAGTTGCTCTTGGCGAGCCCCATGCGTACGACAAGGCCTTGTATGAGGGTCGATTCGCCAACGACACATGATGCAGCTGGCAACATATCTTGTCAGACCATCGGCCCTTGAGAAGTTTGAGCAGGCGGATCTCTCTAGGGTGAAGGTCATGGTAGACGTCGCTTTGCGGATTGTAGATGGAAGCAAGGAGAGTTTCTGTGGCCTCCTCAGTAAACGAAATCATAGTGTCGGAAAGGATGAGGATGATTGTACCGCTTGAAATGATCTTAAATATGAATATGAACGTGGAGATGATGAAGCCTAGATAGAGCTGAGGTTTGCCTGTCAGCCTTGCAGTCGCCTCATGTGTGGTTTGCGGGGTAAATGCGAACCTAGCTATCGTTGGCCGAGACAACCAGAGCATCATACGTGTACACGTATTAACAAGGAGCGAGCCAGACCAATCGAAAAGAGGACCCCAAAGTCTGCCAGAATGTACTAAAATTTATAGAACAATTTGAACTTGGAAGTCTTGCTCAATAATTCGAGCGGCGAGAATCTCAATCCTATCCAAACACCGCTCCTTCCATCTTCGCCATCTCGCCAGACAAAATCCTTCTCGCAACTCTAGCAAATATCGAACTTCCCCGCTTCTGCTAAAACAACATGAAGGTATTCATAGCTCGTCGTTCTCTCCTTGAGCCTAGCTAATCGCCTGGCTGTCGTGATGGCGTTTTGAATCTCTCGGCCACCGGGTTCTGCGTCTGCGAGCTAATCGACGCTTCCCGCTACCGCCTCAGCATCGACACCAGAGTCCGCTCCTGCAGAAACAGAGAGCTTTGGATTCTGTGAGTCTTCCTGATAGCTCTCAAGGCGCCTGGTGAAGCTCTGCCATTCGTGTAGGCATCGAGGCTCGTCTAGAGGGCATCATGATGTGCTACCGAGTTGGATCCGATAAAGCTTGGCAGGCGATGCTCTCTTGTCCTCACAGTCACACTTTCATTTAATCGTTCGACAACATTTCTTCTCTTCTGGTCGTCGAGTCTGCGTTTTAGAATCCATCGCCTGTAAAACACTATTTGCACGTACGCACGTCGTTGAGACTGAGACCTCTATATATAGAGCTAGAACTAGCGCCGGATAGCTGCATAGCTCGGGTGGCTCGCTATTTTAGTCATCTCTCGTTCCAAACTCCTCTGCAAAGGTACAACAAGTCCAGGCTACTATCTACATACTTCTGTAAGAGCTTGATCGCTATAGAGTGGTCATTCCGTCTCTCGAGGTTGATTCAACGAAAACTTCGATGGATACAGTCGTCGCGATTTCAGCGAACAACCGACAGTCATCGCCTCTTGCCCTTGAAGCTTGGTGGCAATCTCTCTGGTAAGAAGACTGACCCTGCAGTGTAGCCTCCAGGAACCGCAAGGAAAAAGCTAATCAGAGCTTTAGAGAAGCTGGAACTTCCCACGACGAACGACTGAGAACAGGCGCTCGGACCATGGACTTTCCAATCTGCAAGATTACCACATCAATACCGAGGCTGAGCAAGTGTCTGAGGCCAGTATTTGTTTGCAAGTACTGCAATACCTGCCCAGGTCTCGAAAGATCCTCCCAGAGACGTGTCTGTCATGAATTGCACAGACACTCAGGAAGAACTTTCGATGCTTTGTGTCCTGGCGGGCTCTCCGGTGGTATCGACAAGCTTGGCTCAAATGCCTTGGTCAAAATGGATCCAAGTAAGAGGGCTCCTCTGTACTCATGATCGTACCTTTTGATTTCGATCCGTGTCTTTTTTCGCCTACGTATTTCTTCTGTCTAGATCCTTAGCCCCCCACGAGCGTTAAGGCCCGCTACACTTGACTCAAGTAGAGGTTGAACATAGACGGCAGCAAGCACTATGGAATTGATCCAAAATCTAGCTCATGCAAATAGGACTATTTCATTTACACATTGGACAGCATCAGACACCAAGGACCAAATGTCTTGGTTGCAGGGTAGCATACAGTTTGGCCACATGCAGCCTTTTCAAGGACAGGAACCTGCAACTTCGCAAGCTTTCGCAACTTGCCATCTCGAGTGGGGTCTATTCATCTCAATGTCGAACGCACATCAAGTCCAATACAGAACTAACCCTTCGAGAGCAAATTGCCCACCAACATAGCATCTATTTATCTAGTTGCTGCTTGTGAAAGACTTGCGAGGCTCAGCCTAAAACATCGCGATGTCGAATGTCAGTACAAACGAGATATATTTAGCCAGTCATAAAGCTTCATACCATCTGGAAGGTCTCGAGGCGTCTCTTGCCCTGGGAGGCAGATCTCGCGGTCAAACAATACCCGATGAGCTGCGAAATATCGAAGGAAATGAACCACTTCAAGCCGCCTTCGCCTTCCAAAGTCCATCCCGACTGTTCCAATGGCGGCTAGAGAGCATCCAAACTTCCCGATATTGATTAGCTGTCCAACAGAAAAGAGTAGGATAGATTATTCTATGGAAATCGACTGGGCTCGTCCCGCATATAAGAGAACTAGACTCTGTCAAAGATGGTGAGAGGGGCCAGATATACGTCACGGGCAGAACTGCAGCCATCGAAGATCTATTCAAAGATGCCTTCCTGCCACGCCGAGGGTGTTTTCCAAAACATCGGCCCACCGATTTGGATTACGATGCTTTCATTCTGGTTACGGTCATCTTACATTGAGCAGAAACCCATCGAATACGAGGCAGAGGTTCGTTATTGGAGACAAAATCCCTTCGCCATAGCATGAAGGCCTCAAACTCCTTCTATCTCGCAGTCACCGCCTCAATTCTTACCTCCTCCATCGCCGCCCCAGCACACCCTCGCACCTGTCGAAAACAGTCCCGTCGTTCGCTCCGCCTCCGTAAAAGCGATCTTAGTCGCTGCTCCTTCCACCGAGGGTACGACAATAGTCGAAGATGTTGTAGTTTACCGTGGAGATGTGCATGGGATATGAGTGTAAGGTGTCTGTTCTGTGATGTGTGATGGGCAGTGGGCCAATATGTTGAGATATGGTGTAGGAGCAAGAAGCAGTCTACGGATACTTAGGATTATGTTGTTTTGTAGGGTGGGGTTATGTCTCATCGCTTGTTGCTGTCCTGGGGAGGATGAATGGGGAGAGTCCCGTTGTGCGCTAGGACTTCGGTTTCACGTTTTGGTTGAAGTGGATGGTTGCTGTTGCTCTCTCGTGTGAGGCAAGCACGGCAGAGCGACCTTCGTTGGAATCTTGTAGAGTTCATTTGGCATGTCTCGATTAAGTTGTATCCCCTACCAACTCGACTTCTCTCACTGTCTGTATCTCTCACTTTCCAAAAAAGGCTGTGTAAGTGAAGAGATGTTGACGCCTTTGCTAGGAGCCATGGGCGACAATATCCTCCAGTAGCCAACCACACGATTCCCTCGCCTGTGATGTCAGGTTTCCTTAGTTTCAGGCTTGGGTGTTTAATGTTCATTGGGAGATTGTGTTGAGATCCGGCGTTGGTTTTTGCAAAGTCAAGAAGTTGAGGCACTGAGGGGTTTCGTTTGCAGATTTCGGAGAGGTAGCCGGCGCTATTTACGGGCTTAAAGACTTCAAATTATTTGGTATCTTTTAACATCCAGACTCCACGTTGCTCTATCTTCTGTGATATCCATAATGGAAATAGGTCATCACAGTCATACTGCTCTCCAAGCTGGCTCGGCCTAGACCTCGCTTAGCACCCATTTCATCCCAAAATGGAAGCCACCACCTCAAACGCGCCTTTCCCTCGCGACCTGTATAGATTTAAATAGAAAATTCCCCAAAACAAATCACACATAGCCTCCTTGGTCTAGTGGTAAGACGTCTCTCTCACAAGATCTGTTTATATAACAGAATCAAGAGCAGAGAAGATCGCGAGTTCGATCCTCGCAGGTGGTATACAATTTTTTGCTTTCCCTCTTCCTCGCTTCCTTTTGGGGAGTACTTGCTTTACTCGCCAATGAGCTCCAATAACTTTTTTAATTCCATCCTATTTGAATCATACTCGAAGGCATTCTTTTTGAAGGTGATCTTAAAATTCGTTCGCTTGATTCATTACACGTAAAACGTAACCATAAACTTCAAACAAACAAACAACAAAACGCCAACACCCAACCATGCCCGACTTCCTTGCCTTGCCGTTTGCACAAAGAAAGTCTCCACCAACTCCGCATCCCGCATTACATGCATATACATCATACAGCCAGCCCAACTACGTTTACGCGTTCGCTTGGATAACTCTGAAGCCACCAGAAACCAACTTCGTGATCTCCTCGTTCTTGTGTTGAAGTAGACTGAGAGCGTACGCAACATCGTTCCATTGTCTCTCGGTCTCGCACCTGGCGAGTCTGGCGGCAAGTTTGTCTGCCAGTTGCTTGGCATGTTTGTCCTAATTTGAAGATTAGAATTGAATACAGTGTGGGAGTGACGGACAATATGCTAACCTTCTCAATGAAGCCCGCCAAGAACTTAATGATCCGCTTTAGCGAATCTTCCTCCAAATCCTTCTCAGCACTCAACAAACTAAACATATCAACAAAGTGGTTGTATACCGCGTTATCCTTTGTGCTCAACTCAGTGAAGAACATGCGGCTCATATCTGCGATTCTTTTGTCTTCATCTTCAAGACACTTGGCCATCTCTCCCAATTGTCCCTTGACCTTGACTTGACCTGCCAAGATCAGGAAGGTGAGAGTCATCAAGCAAGTTCGCTTCACGCTTGCGTCTTTGTCATTGAGGCGGCGGTAGAGGAAGTCGGTGTTCTCGTCGATGAGATGATTGAAGCAGACCGCCATATCACCAAGCGCAATGACAACATTGGATCGAGTAATCGGATCCTTCGAACGTTCGAGAATGGTGATAAGCAGAGGTAGGTTGGCCTCGCAGTACTCCGAGCTTACGCACATGAGCTTGGCCAAGCACAGAGTCGCAGCAGCTTGAAGATTTCGATCTCGGTAGGTCGTGTTGTTTGAGCAGATCTCAGATACCAAAGGACCGAAGTTCGCCAGCAATGAGTTCTCGCCATACAGAAGCTCGCGCTCTCGGATATGCGTCATGGCTTCGGTGAAGTCGTCTTCAGTTGTACCACCAATCATATCGAGATCATCTGCTGCTTCTTTTGCGGCTTTGTCCGCTGCAGTCTCGGGAGTCTTGTTCTTTTCAGCTTCAGCTTTCCTTCTCTTGAAGTCAAGCTCACAAAGCTCGAGGTGGACAATCTGCTTGATGGCTACATGGCCAACAATGAACAGAAGCTGTGAAAGTGCAATCGATCCTTTGACCTTAGGCTCAGGCTCCACTGGCTCAGCTGGCTCCGGTGACGGCGACGCCTGTTGAGACGTTTCGGGCTGCTCCTCGGGCTCGGGTGTTTTGGCAACTCGCTGCTGGAACACATGCTTCGTCTTCCGTCGCAGGATCTCAGAGCAAAGAGTATCTGGGTGCTTCGAAAGGGTATAGATTGCACTGATCGCCTGCTCAGCAACACCATACCATTCCTTGTTGTCAGACTCGATCTCAATGACTGCAGCCAACTTCGAAAGGACCGCATGATCATTGGGAAGCTTGGAGGCCGGAACATTGGCCTCCTTAGCTTGTCGTCCGGTAGGATTGATCCGGCGAAGGGCAATACATGTGTACTTTGCCAATTGCAGATCCGACCGACCAAGGCTACCAAGACCGATCCGAAGCATCGTCTCCATCTCACCAACAACAATCTCTGGCTTAGCAGTTGCCAGCATACCAAGCACAATGATTGCACCTCGGCGTTGACTCTTGGAGATCTCTCTCTTCTGGACACCATAGACTTGCCACAGTTTTGAGACGACAAGGTCGGAGATATGTTTGGCGTTCATCATGGTGCTCAACAGCTGCTCCAGAGATGTCAGCTCAGCTGGTGTCGCACCAAATGTCAGACTGATCATATTCCGGGCAATGTAATTGGAGGCATCGTTGGCAGAGTAGGATTCTGGAGCCTCGAAGAAAAGGCGTTTGTAGACATCAATGAGATGGTTTTGAACACCCTTGCCTTCGTCGCTATTGCCTTTGGTCCAGATAAGTCGCAACATTCTTCGAATACCCAGCTTATTTTGCTCAATGTTGTAAGCATCACCAATCTCGAAGTAATCCATGGCCTCAATGACTTCGCTCTTGTTCTTGGAACCCAAAAGCTGGCATATGGTGGTGGTTGCGCCGTGCAAGACTTCGATGAACTTCAATGCCTCAACATAGTATCGTCTTGTAAGAGTCAACTTGTTGATGGCTTCCGAGGTAGCAGCTTCCTCCTGTGCCTTCTTGATTGCCGCAATCTTCTGCTCATCAGTCATCGGCTTCTGAGGTGAATCAGATTCCATGACTGTAGCATCATCCAGAAGCTGAGTGTCCACAGTCTTGCCGTTGCCATCCATTCCTGGTGCATCCGCTGGAGGTTTCAATGCGCTGAGCTCTGCGTCCACGGCTTCCAATCGAGTGGTCCATTCCTTCTGCGACAGTTGAGATCCATGCATGATACTGAAAGGATGAGTCTTGATGAGTGTTCCGAGGAGCTTGATAGCATTTCGTCGAACGTTACTGCTCTTGTCCTCCAAACTTCGTGCAGCCAGTTCGGCAGCCTTCTGTCTCCGCTTAGGGAACTTTTGCTCGAGTTCGCAAAGCTTGACGTAGACCTGAATTGTTCTGCATCGGCAGTAGGGATTGATGTCGAGGAACCGCTCCTCCAAAACATCGAAGAATGCGTTGAGCTGTGACTTGTGGTTATCACCACGCTCCTCTTGCTTGCTCAAATCGGCTACCAAGTTCCCACAAACTTCGATCAAAGCACATCTCAAAGCATACGACTCGCTGTCCAACTGCTTGGCAAGCATAGTCATTTGCTTGATAATGAGACGAGGAGCCAGTTCCGAAAGCTTGACAATGAAGGATGAAACGGATTTTGGCCCCTTGGTGTCGTTGCTGTTGAATTCCTTGTTGCTCAGCTCGGTTATAATTTCACCAGCCAGTTGGGGGTAGTCGTATTGTTCTGACAGAATATGCAGAAATTCGGCCATTGGCTCCGCAAGATGTTCGAAGTAAGTCAGGTTTTGGACAATCGAGATTTGTGCAGCTATTGTCTTGTCAGCCTTGATCAGATGAAAACAGCGCCTGCCATACCATATCCATGTCCATGATGCTTCACAGCTATACACAGGACCTTGAAAGCGTGCATCCGAATAGCAGTATTCTTGACTCTCTGCTCACTCTCAAGAACCATGTATACAGGTCTAGTCAGGAGACTGATGAATGTATCTCGTTCCGAAGTGGTCAAAAATATCTTCGAGAGTTTCAACTTGAGGACCTTGCACATGATGTCCAGAGCAGTCTGCAGTTGTGCAGACGAGTCCCAGTTGCCATCCTTGTCCTTCGAAGCTGTTTTCGACTTGGCAGCCTTTCCTCTACCTCGTGCAGCAGGTGCAGTTGTCGACTTCTCTGCAGCTTTCGTCTCGACTGCTGCTATTGTCCATTGTAGGAGAAACCCAAAGACCTCCAGCAGCTGTTTGTGGTGGGAGATAAGTTCTTGCTCGTCACTCTCGAGATCGTTGTGGATGATGTCGGCTTGCGTCGAGAGACCAGAGATGACAAGGTCGAAAATCTTGCTCAAGGCATGTGTAGGTAGGACGGAGGAGGATCTAGAAAGTTTGAAGAGCTCAGAATCTGGTTTTGCAGGATATATAGTAGGATCTAAGGAAATGGGGGCACACTTTAACAGGAACTGCAAGGAGTCAAAATTAGAGCTCCTTGTGATCGCATCTGGATTCTCTGCCACCGAGTCGACGATCGGGTTCAGGACAGTGTTTATAAGTGAGTTGGTGAGCGATTCGGGGTCATTTTCGCAGTCAACAAGATTCGAATCGGCTTCCGGTGTAGCAATCGTGGCGGGATCGCTCATGTAATGTTTGAGGGCATCGTTGATATCAAAATCTATTGAATCCATGGCGGCGATATGGGCGCAATAGTTGTCGGCGATTGTCCAGCATCAACAAGATTATTGTTGCTGTTTGGATGAAATTCTGGTGGTCGTCGCAAAGGCCTGTGTTGACATCGGCCGCCCGTGGAGACCGCGTTGTTTTTATCGCGTCCAAAAGCGGGTAAGCCCGATAATGGCTGTTGACACCCCACCGGCGCTGTTCTTGCAGGCTGTACCTGAAACTAAACAACCAATTGCGAGGCACTCCGAAGTCTGATTTCCTGTGTCTTGTAGGTTTTATTGCTTTGCGACTATAGTTGAAGCTTGCGAGCTTCAGTATGGCAGCAATTCGCCTACGGAACGCGAAGGTACCTTTTGAAATCCACCACGACGAGATGGATCCGGACGAGTCCCTCGAGGAGCAAGAGGAGATGGGCGAATCAAGAGCCGAGATGGAGGAAGATGATGCGCAGAACTCGGACTTCTCAGACGACAGTGAAGGCGCTGTTGATCCGTCTGTAGCGGAGGATATGGAGAAATTCCAGGAGACTTTCAAGGGCATACGAGACCGCTTTCGACTTATCAATCGCATTGGGGAGGGTAATTCACGTGTCGCCAATCTGTTTTGTATTCACTAACGCGTGATAGGTACCTTCTCGACAGTGTACAAGGCCGAGGATCTGATGTACGACGTTTACGACAATGATTGGGACATTGAGGAAAAGGAAAACAAATGGGCATCACCACCCTTGAAGAAGCGACGAACGGGAATGGATGCATTGGCGGCTATGGACGAATATGCGCAACAAAGACGACGTCCGAAGTATGTTGCGATCAAGAAGATCTATGTCACCAGCAGCCCTTCACGAATTCTCAACGAACTGGACCTACTCAATGATCTCCGAGGGTTCGACTCAGTTTGTCCTCTCATCACGGCCTTTAGACATACGGACCAGGTTGTTGC